ATTACTATTGGACATGTAGTCAAAAAATATTCTTTATTTTTCGTTTTCTTGAAGATGATATTTATTATATTATGAAAAAGATGATTGTTGGAGTAAAGAGCATTTGAAGATTATGTAACACGGAAAATATTCATCGACTACAGACATTTTTGTTGCAGATATCAATATTTCATCAGTAAAAACTATAGCTAAATGAAATTTCATGACAGAAAAAGAGAAACAAGACACTAATTTCAGATCCTGGATTTCATTTAAATTATTAAGCAAGCACCTTCGTTTATTAGGGTCAAGATATTTGGGATTTCTTTCAATTTCCAAAACTATAGAAAATAATTTTATTTCCCTTATCCATCCATTACAAACAAGAATAAGTTTAGGGTTTGTTGACCTCTGAAAATGTACATTCAATGTGGCCAACAAATTTTTAGATCTTTCATGTTCACATAAGCCGTGTTCCTGCACTCTAGGAAAATCATTAGCCAAACATAGGTAACCTCCTTCAGTGGGGGTACTGGAGTTAGCCTTGCGTACTCTAAAGGTCAAGTCAGTAGGATAAGTAGACATATAAGTGTGGGAGGGCTCTGGATGTAAGCTCTCAATTTTGGAAATAATGAATAAAATAGTGATATGGTAAACTTATAATTTGAGAATCTAAACTTTTATTATCTTGAAAAGATGCTAAGTGTGAATTTTTATAGTAGAAGAGGATGAGCAAGGACCGTTGGATGAAAAAACATGTAGCCTCATCTTAACTACTGTGGCCTTTTATCATAGGCATCAATCAATCAAACCTAGGCTTAAGTGCATTTAATGTTATAACCATATATATGCATCCTTAAGCTTGACATGAAATAATAGACCTGACTTATTGATTGAATAGAACCGTCTATTTAATGAGTTGTCACACCATCCACTTGCTACAAGATCTTGTATGAAGATATTTCTTAGGATGCTTCTACCTACCTCACCTCATCCATGAGGGCTCAATCCCCTATAGGGTTCAATTAATAAGAGGTTCGGCCAAACTGCCACATGTACAGAATAATGTGAAGCGCTGGCCTAAATTCTCTTGCTGTGTGGCTGCCACTTGTCAATGTTTAGAGCCTCGTTGAAGGAGGCGTAATGGGGTTTATACACAATAAGATTGTGAATTGTAGTAGAAAGATTAGGGCATGGAAACTACTTTTAAGGTACTCTTCAGAAATTAAGGGTGAGTTTGGTTTGCGTTTCCATTTTCTATTTTGAGAGGCTATTTTCGAATCACAAAAAACGTGATTGATTTTTCATTTTGAAAAATGGTTTCTCATAACAGAAAATTAGAAAATACGTTTGGTTTAAAAAATTTTAAAATTGTTTTATGACATTTATTCAAATAATTTGGTTATGTAGTAAAACATAATAATTTTTTGTTAATATATTACCAAATAATATATATTTTAAACTTCGTGAATTTAATATTATTTTGCTACAAAAATAAAATAATGAATAATAAATGTTTAGAAATTGTTTTATGATATTTATTCAATTAATTTGATTATTTAGTAAAACATGATAATTTTATGTTAATATATTACCAAATAATATATATTTTAAACTTGGTGAATTTACATTTTTTTTTTTGCTACAAAAATAAAATAATGAATAATAAATGTTTACAAATTGTTTTATGATATTTATTCAATTAATTTGATTATTTAGTAAAATATAATAATTTTATGCTAATATAATACTAGATAATATATATTTTTTAAATTTAATGAATTTACTATTTTAAAAGTACTATTGAGCATCCCTAAAAAAAATAAAAAAAATAAAATAAAAGAATGGGGAAAACGGCATGTTTTGAGTGTTTTAAGCATTTTGAGTTTTTAACTGAAAATATTCAAAATGAGAAAAAAATCTTTTTTTGTTTTCAATTATAAATTTTTCCTTGTTTCGGAAATTTTTCGAAAATAAGTGACCAAATGCGTTTTTAGCGTTTTCGAAAATTAAAAACAAAAAAGGGCTGAAAAATGGCAAATCAAATGCCGCTAAGTTTTTTCAAGCAGAAGAAAGTACAAACCATAATTATTCCCATTTTAACTCCAAAAACCTTGGAAGGAAGAAAAGGTTACAAACCATAATAGGCTGCACGCATATAAGCAAATAAGCAGCCAGAGGAGCCCTCGGGGCATAGACAAGTGGTGTAAAGGATAGGAGTGAGGTTATCTCTGACAGATGCAGTGTGGGGGTTCAATTTTTGAGACATAAAATTAAACTCCTTGTAGGAGGAGAAGAAGAAAAAAAAGTAATTCCACCATAAAATAAGCTGATTGCGATGAATTGATTACAGTACGAACATAACTGAAGGGGACGAGACAATGAGGCCAGTCAGAATGCAGTAAAATTTGTCTATTCTGTAGGTTTATAGACAAAGGTACGATTTAGCCTCCTACAAATTGTTTGAATAATCAAGCAAGGTACAGTCCACACCCCCACATAAGGCTCACGGCTTTTGGAAAATCTAAATGGTTACACACAGTCACACACTTATTTTCACTATTCTTATTCTTGGAATAGTATCTTGTAATGAATCCAACTGGAATTGGCCATAAAGATGTGTATGTAGCCACTGTTTGTATGTTAATTTCTAAAAGAGTAAATACATGTTTGGTATTAATTTTTCACACAAAAAAATCAATTTTTTGACAGCTATATCATTATTTCAACCGTCATTTTTTACTTCTTTTTTTATGGATGGGATATCTTTATATTTAACGTCAAAAATCAATTCTCATAATTACTACCAAACAAATTCTAAAGTTGTTTGTACAAATTGTAATGTTAGGGAGCTTAACAAATGATGAGATATAATTGGTTATTTTAAATCTATTTTTTGTTTAAAGTACAATAAAATCCTACCACTCAGCATTCTCTAAGTCTGTGGTACAGGTTGGTACATGTAGCACCCTCCTAAGAAATGGGGTTTTATGACTGTTTGATACTTTATCTATTAGGGCACCATATTAGTAACGATAATATTAAGAATTTGTTTCTTATTTAATATTGTTCAAAAGTGAAAGAAAATTATAATCTTATTTATTATATTGTCAAATACGAACTAAAAATACGATCATCTAGAAAGGTAAAGAGGAAAAAAGCAAGCAACCAATGTTGCCACTGGATAAAACAAGTAATCCACCTTTTCCCCAATCTCATTTATATCTTCTTCAACATGCCCAAGTGAATGTAGATCTTTCTCACTCCTGTTAGATCTTTTTGCTGGACACTTAGATTTTTCAAAAATCCTTTATTTCTCTACGAAATAAATCCTCAATTCCCGTATAGATTCCAGAAATATATCCTCTCAAGAATAGGCTTTACTATTCCAATCTTTCCCCCAAAATGTTTTCTTCCAGCAAAATTACAAACCTTTTTCCACAGATTTCACCATCTTTTCTCTTCTTTTATTGGTCTAAATAACGCTGATTTTTTTCTGCAACACCCCCAGAATCTGGTTTCTGGGCATCATTTCGTGGCCAATGCTCCCATGGTACCTGCAACGAAAATAGCTATTGAAGATCTGCAGGTTAAGATAAACAATGGAGAAGGCAAGGTAGGTTCAGCAGCTAATTCTGAAGATGCTGAAAATGGGGAATCATTGCTGATGGATTGTAAGAGGAAATCATTGATGGATGATAAACAGGCTGCAATGAATCTTGCAAGAGAGTCTAGGGCGAAGGCAAGAGCAAGAGCAAGAGCAAGAGCAAGAGCAAGGGAAAGAACGAGAGAAAAAATGTCAATCAAATGGCTCAATGAAGCCAAGAAACTTTCCAATTTCAGCCCCTCCATTCAAAATCAAACAAGGCCTTGGAATGAGATTGAAATTAGTAAGATATCAGATAATTCTAATAGTCACAACATTTCCTGCTTAAAGGTGGCTGCTAATGAATTTGTAGCTAAGAATATGATTGAGGAATCCATTGTCATCAAAAGAAAGTTAAAGCCTTCTTCTGTTTTTGGCTTCCAAGAAAACTTCATTATTGTGCAAGATTCTAATTCAAACTGCAATTCTTCACCAAATGCTGCTGAAAATTGGGATTTCAGCTTAGAGTCGAGCTTATGAGCCTTTTTCGATCTGCATAAGTTCATTAAACGGTAAATCCATTACAATTTAGTCATTTAAATTTTGAGTCTGGACAAACGATAATGTATTTCTTCTTATTGTTTCTTGCAGTTCTTCAAACATATAGGAACCATGGTACGCCTATACTTAAGGTCAATATCAACGCGTGGTTTATCCTATTCAAGTAATGTAAGCTTTACTAGTCTGAACCTTCCATGAATGTACTAAGGCTTTATTATAGTTTTCTCCGGATTTTCTATGTGTCTACATCGATTTCTATATGCTGATGCAAAAATTTTATTACTTATATACACACATTGAGTTGACTATCATTTACTTAATACTATGATTTACACTTCTTAATCCTTACAATCACTACAAAAACCATGGCTTCAAGCACAGATTTTTCACTCTTGAAACCACGATACCAGTTGTTATTACTATTTACCAACGGAATATTAGCAACCACAAATTCGTTGTGAATTTGGAGTTCGTTGATAGTTATCAACAGATTGCATTTTAGGTAAAGAGTAAACATTTTACCAACGAATGGTAAAAATGTAACCATTACCAACCGATTTTCCGTTGATAAATGTCTATCATTACAATTGATAAAAATATGAGTTGTAAATAACCGCATAGGGATGAGGCGTGGTAAAATATATATATATATATATATATTGTTGTTATTATTTATTTATTTAATAATTATAATTTTCCAACTTTTAGCTAACTTAGTTGAAAGATCAAAAAAAATTTTTAACTACGTATCGGACCACAAATTTATAGATGGTATGTCTAAAAACTTTGTTGTAAACTTTCGATGTGGGATAAGAATTCCTTTGAAATTATTTAATATTAGCAACGGAAATTCCGTTGGTAATATAAACTACTCTTTACTTACGGAAAATCCATAGATGAAAGGTTGATACAGTTTTTAGAGAAAAAAATGTTCAATTATGTCACATAAGGAAAAACTGTTGGTAAATAATACATATAGTCCCCGTTTGAGCCACGTTATTGTGAAAATGAGAATGAAAAATATAGTCGTTATGGACCCTATACAAGAGATAAAAAGTCAAATATGGTGGTTTGATGTGATGGATAATGGTTATATTTTTCATTTTAATGAGAAAATAATGGAACTTAAATAGGGCCATATTAAACAATAACAATAGGCACGAAATATCCGTTAGTAAAGAGTTACCACTTTTACCAACGGAAATTTCGTTTGTGATTTTCGTAGTTAAAAGTCTAATACTTTTACCAACGAATAATCCGTTTCTAATTACTATCCGTAGGTTAAAAGCTGATTTTTAATTAGTAGTGAATTAATAGTTTACTGATTTTATTTCTCTCCTTGCCATCTTAATTAAAATTTGAGAAAAAAAATAAAGAAAAGCTGTGCTTATTAAGACTAAAATGGATGCACTCAAGAACCAAAGTAAAATGAGAATTACGCATAATTGATTAATATGCAAATTTTCATTTAAGATGGTGATCAAAATGTTATTAGAAAACTACATTAATGTCCATTGACTTGAAAAGGATTCCAAAATTGATATCATCGAAACATTTAGCCTAGCTACTGTACCTCATTTTATAACAGTTTCATGAGCAGCGAAAAGGCTGAAGTACTAGATATTGATGCTATATATATATATATATATATATATAAACAATTTTATATGCAGCTATTTAGGGTTCTTGCTTGGCATCAGAAGTTGTTTTGGTGTCAACTTCATTGACATGCATAGTTTTTCAAGGCCTAAAAATCATGTTCTGATGCAAAACACATATGTATATGATCAAAAAATAAGGGATTTATTCCTGCTGACACCCCATTTAGAGTAATTTCTTTACTTGGAACAATCAAAATCAAACAAATACTGAAATCTTGTTTGAATATCAATTTTGAGGATATATACTATTGCATGAATTTGATGTTATAGCATTTTTATGGTGCTATGCTTTAAGATTATTGTGAAGTAGGTCCCCTCAGCCAACTCCATGAGCTTCTTAATGACAGAAAAAAGTTCAAAACTCAGTGCATGTTTGAACAATTAAGCTGAATTTTTTTTATCATTTCTTTGGGCTTCTTACCTTGCTTATATATATATGACCCAAAAAGGAAGAGAAAGAAAGATTTTCTGGTAAAAAAGATCAATACATAGATACCCATGACTGCAATACATATATTTCACAAAAGACTTCTACCATACTTCAAAATAACTACTCCTACCTGCTACACACTACTTGTTGACAAGTTAAAGACCTTACAATGATTGACATAAAAATAGATACTACAAGGACAGCTTTTAATATGTATTTATACATTGAGAATGAGGTTAAAAGTAGTAATACTTATGAATCTCTATACAAAATTATTTTATTGGGAAAATGTGATTGAAAATGAGTTTAAAGAAAAATAATTTTGAAAAAATCAAAATGAAACAAGAACTTAACACTGTGTGCTGTTTAATTTATGTTGTCAAAGTCTTGGTATGTAAGCTACACGTTATCCATAATATTAGTTCTGCTAGATGACCTCTTAGAATGTAAACTGGGTGTTTCTGCATGAATTTCAAGAATATTAGAAGGAAAGCTTTGGGATTAATTCGTGCAGATTACTTCTTTTCTTTCCAAGTATTAGCCTTCCCTTTATAAGCAAAAAGTACTTCTGCAACTGATCTTATAGCATGTTTTGTACTGTGACAAAGATGAAATGATTAGCCCTTGTTTGATTCTCATTTTGGAGGAAATAATGCATTTTGAATAGTAGATTGATGGAGAATGTATGGTTAAAAATTAAAGAAAAATTTTGAATTTACATGTA